GTTCCTATGCAATATTTTTCTTTGCAGCATCGGACTTACCTTTCACTTCCAGGCACGTCCACGGCTGAGTGTCATTTCAGCTTTGGCCCAACCACTTCATTAGCTCTGGAGCTACTTGTCCTTGTCCTCCACTCTTCCTCAGTAACATGTTGGATGCCTTCTGACCTGAGGGGCCCATCTTCCAGTGTCATATCTTTTAGCCTTTTGTTTCTGTTCATGGGGTATTCTTGGCAAAGATACTCGAGTGGCTTGCCAATTCCTACTCTAGGTCTTGATCACCCAGCACTAATTTCGTTCCCATGGAGGACAGTGGAGTCAGGAAGCACTTGGCAATAACTAGGGATACTTCTGACAAACATATTTGTATGGCAGCGAATCTGGATTATTTATTAGTTACAACTATGTCACACCTTCCTTCCAGAAATTTTGAGGCAATATGAAGGACTCTCCTCCTGTCCACCTTATCCTCAAAGCAAGCTTGTGAAGTAGGTTATGCTGGGGGAAAAAAAGATCAGCCCAAAGGCAGCCAGTGAGCTTCACAGCTCAGGTTATAGTGTGTATAATGTGAAAACTATCCAAACTTTTGTGGCACCTTAAAGATAAACCACATTTTATATGGAATACCCCTTCATGAACTAGAATCATTTGAGGCAGAGGAGGGCTGCATCCTACTAAGCTTATTCCAAATAAAACCTGGTAAACACTCCTCAGGGTTATTTGCCAATGCAAATACTCCCTAAGTGTCAAAACTGTAGTTTTAGAAGAGGTAACCGTGTCAGTATGTGCAAGTATATCAGGCAAAATCCGAAGAAATAAAAACAAGACAAAAACATATGGAACCTTAAATACTAGCTATTAAACACTCTGTGTATGCCTGCTTTGTTTTCTGTCTCCTGTAGGAATGCTTACAATGGAATTTAACATCAAACATAGGCCATAAATTACTGCACGTGGATGTGAGATGTAACCACACACCCATGACTGAATGTTTTCCTCGTGAAACTGGTATTTCATGCAGTATTTCATTTTTCCCCTCCAGTATGTCTGACGAAGTGGAGTTGTCCATGAAAGCTCGCATTAAAATATAACTGTTAGTCTTTAAGGTGTCACATGTTTTTGTCTTTTTTTCCCCTTTTACTTCTTTGGATTTTGCCTGATAAGCATCACAAGACTCTTCAACGCTTTGGGTACGAAATACACTTCTCGAGATAATACTCCACTACACGTAACTTAAAAACCATAAAGACCCACTAATTTCTCCACGAGCAACTTCCTTCCTTTTCTGCTGCGGGCTGACGGGACTTCTTAAAGTATCGAACGGCCGCCCGTCTGGATGATACCACCAGAGACGGGGGGGGGAGGAAATATAGGCTTCCAAGACTCATCATCATGGGCTGGTACATTCCACCGCTACCCTAGGCGTGGCCCCTCCTACCCGTCCTCCGGCTCTATGACGTTCACGTCCCACGCCGCAGTTGTTGTATTCGGTCTTCCTTGTTAAGCTGACGATAGACGGGAGGCGGGAGCAAGAGGGTACTGCGTTTGTACATGCGCAGTGGAGACCGTGGACAGTGACAGGCACCGCGGGAAGGCCTTAGGGCCGGGGCCATGGCAGAGCCCAAGAAGGTGTCAACTGATGGCGGCGGCCATGAAGAAAAAGGGGCCGCGGCTACGGCTGCCCCTGCTCCCGGCTTGGAGACGCTGAGTGCGGCCGAGTACTCTCGGCGCGTACACCAATGGCTCTGGGACTCGTACTGCGGGTACCTGAGCTGGCAGACCAGCTGCCTGGCCGCGCTCATGGCGGGCGCTGCGACGGCCGCTG